TTTTTTTTTTTTTTAATTTCTTTTTTTTTCGTCCATGTATTGTTAGGATAGGGGATTTGAAAATTTTGGTTATGAACTGAAGTGCATGATATCTTAAAAATTGAAGGTTGTTTTCTTGGAGATTCGTTTTTGTTTTGTGAAGCTTTACTTAGTTTCATGCATTCTCTTCTCGGTATTGTTTTATGAGTTTTGGTTTTTGTGAAACTGTTGCAGTTAAAATGGAGCAATTGCCGGAGAACCGGAGCGAAGCAAAACGTTTGGCGCCGCCGCAAGGCATTCACCAGAGCGATGTGGACGAGGATGACGAGAACGTAAATCAGCTCAATGAATGTTCTTCTCTTTATCGCTTGATGCAGGTTAACTTCATTGTCTTTGTTAATTACTTATTTTACCTCCCGAAAACCCTAAACCCTCAGATTTAAGATTCTTTGATCTGGCCATTCCTAGAGGATTCCTTTTCTTTATTTTTCAGGATTGTGTTGTTCGATCAAACAGGAATTGGAAAGCATGCCAGCCAGGTATCCATCTTTCACAATTTCTCTGTTCGTTTCTGCCCACGTGACATGTTATCCTCTCTAATATTGCAGTTGAGAGTGTGTATGAATGCATTGTTGGAATTCATGGAAATTTTGTTTTGGAATCCAATTAACTAATTATTTAACCTTTTTTTAATTCAGAAAGTTTAAGTTCCATAATTGTATTTGAATTAACCATCGTTGAACTCTTAACAGAAATACATGCTTTGAGGGAATGCTCTGAAAAGAGAAAAAACGTCCAAGGAAAGTAGACCTGTGCCGAAACTGAATTTGTTTTTAGCTGCTTATGAGGTTACCTTCTGTGCTTCCTAGTTCTTCTTAACAATGATGTACAAACACTTCCCTCACCAGATGAATATTTTTTAGCATAGTCAATTGAAATAATTAAGTTGAATACGGGGAAAGGGATCTTTTACATACAGAAATCTATAGGAAGCAGGGTTTTCCGATTGAAATGCCGAATATGTTTTTTGAGGTTAGAGAAATCACGTCCCTAACTTGTTTTTACTTAAATTCACTTGGCAAAACAGCCTTTTTATAGTCACACATCTTAAAGGATTTGAAACAAAAAAAATCTGACCTTGTAAGAAGTACAAATCTATCATATATTAAGAGTATGGATTGGAATTGTGTGACGCAATTTTATAGTTACCCATCTGATGCATCAAACGGTTTGCCTCTTGGGGCCAAAAGTCATGGAGGCAATGATCCAATTACCTACCACAATTCTATTAGTCCACTCAACTATAATTTGTCTCTAGGGAAAATGTCATTTATGATGACTAATTTATTATTTATAAAAGAGAGAGGTAGAGCACTAGTAACATCCCAATACATTTTTGAATTTTCAAGGACT